TGGGAAGCCGACGCTACTTCCAGAACCGGGTTCTGATCTACGAACCAAATATGGGACAGAGATCGATTAGGATCACGGTGGGAATCCCACAAGGCTCCATCCTTGGTCCAACGCTCTGGAACTTGATTTAAAACGGCGGTCTAACGCTGAAGCTACCCAAAAGAGTTGAGATCGTTGGCTTTGCGGACGACGTCGTCTTACGGTAACAGGCAAGACGCTGGAATAGATCGAAATGCTGGCGACCGAGGTAGACGGTCGACGACTGTTTGGCTTCAATAGCGTAGAATACGCCTACGACAAGGCAGCGAAAGTTGATGGTGGTAGCCAGAATCTCGGGACCAAGCAGTAGCAAGAGACGGGTCCTGGCTAGTGTATTTACGTTGATAATGAGATATGGACGTTTAGCCTTGGTTGAAGCGATGAAAATTAAGCGAAATTTAAGAAAACAGTACATACCGACTCAACAAACCGTACGCAAACTTTTCGAGACGTTTGGTGTACCCTTTGTTGTAAAGAATAGTAAACATTTATCAGTTATTCCATTAATAGTGGATAAATAATGGTCAAACTTGATTTCAAAATCATTTGTATGGTTTAAATATTGAAAAAGAAAATTTCCCGATTTTTTCAGCTTCCCGTTTTTGTCAGCCTAAAATTTCAGATGGGTGGAAGTACTGTTCTTGTTCAATTTTCCATTTAGGTATTTTTCTCTCAGCTGTCTTGCAGAGAACGGCGTGATGAGTGGATCACCTTGACATTCAGCTGTGGGGTGGAAGGAGATTCGCTTCTTCAACGAGATGTTTTTGCATTGAGCTCAATTCGCACCTACCCGACTGGTGGTTTTCTATATTTATCTCGCTCTCTCATTTCAAGCTGAACAATGCATTGAATCTCTTCATCGACCTTCTCTTTCGTTAATAACTTGGTTACAGAACCATTTATTGTTGTGTCTGTCATATTGTAAGCTAGATCACGGCTTCATGGCCGTGAGGATGCAAAGAGAAATTCGACGAAGAAAATCGGCCAATGTTACTTAGGACCTAATGCATTGTTCAGCTTGATTTATGAAGAGTCGATCGGATAACATCGGGCAGGTGGGGGATGAGCTTTAAGTTAATAACGATGTCGTACCAAAGCTCATTTTCGCATCGCCTTTTGACTAGGATCGAACAATTGTTTATGAGTTCTTCTTACTCTTCCTTGGAGGCGGCTTGAGTTAAGCATCCGCTGTCAGCAGCGCCCTCCATTTTGCCTCCTTTTCGTTTCGAATTTGTAGTAGTTTTTATTTGATTAATAATTTACTTGATAAGGCTCAATCGAATTAACTTTACAGAGCCGAGGATTCTTGGTCACTATACAATACATCTTAAAACTACACACTTAGAAATAACTAATTCTACCACGTGACGGAATCCGTGTTGACATAAAAGATGAGACGTAAACAAACATGTCATGTAATATTAAGTGCTCCGAGACTGAAATGTTCGTTGCTCGACGAAATGTACGTTTGATTGAGCTATATTTCGCGTCTGTTATGACTCAAATTTATGTCAAAATTGACGCTCGTATATGTCACTCTCAGAGCACCTAAATTTACATGATTTTTTCGAAGTGTGTATAGTCAAAAGGTACAACACAATAAACAATTTATCTTCCGCTATCCAAAAAGCCTCCTCCATCAGAATAGGATTCGCTTCCAGCGGTTTCATTGTATGATAGTATCGCCAACGGGGGGCAGAGCGTTTCCATTCCAAACAATTTCATCACTCACACACTCATCACAAAACGGTTGCTTTTTACGGTCGACGAAGCATTGACCAAAAGAACTGCTGATGAAGAACAATTAGTTCTTCACACAATGGTTTCTGCCGAGTTGTCAGACGATCGCGTGACACACATCGAGAGCGGCCTGCTTCTGTCGTCAGCCGAGTGAACATTGAATTTGTAGTATATAGTAGGGCTTAGATCTAATTGTGGGCCTGCTAAGCACAATCCGCCCCGAGTGGATTTTTTCACAAAATGGAATGTTTTCACTGCAGATGACTTCTCAATGTATTTACCTTTCCGTATGTATTGTAAGAATTGCTGAAGAGAAACAAATTGTTGAGATATTGTTTAAAATCTAACACTGCTTCTTGACCCCAAACTCGACCTACGGATTCTAATTTAGGCCTTATGCATCAAACCAAACGCATAATTGACTTGTTAACTCTGAAATAATGGATTTATTTGATGTGTTCTGCTCAATAGGCCCAAAATGGGCGATTAGGCTGAAATAGTGCTCTACCCTCATACGCATAATGTTTGCCCTCGAAAATGGGCGGCTGCTGTCACCATGACGAGAGGATTCTTTAAATTCTTTTGCTAAGAGATAATGGAAATTGGTTGAAATTGACTTTTATATTTTGGTATACCTTAAAATTAAATCAATTTTAATAATTTTCGTTTTTTTTTTGTTCGCTATAAAATTTCTCAGTGGTGGAAAAATTTATCCAGTGTACCTTGAATATCTACAATGCTCCCTTATTTTTACTTCTTGTAAATATATGAAATAATCAGTAATTTAACACAGGATGTTTTAAATAGTACATTATTAGTTTTCTTTATCAAATTTCTCTAGAATTGTTTTGCCAATTTTTAGAATTCAAAAAGTTGTATGCAAATTAATGAACATATTAAGCGGTTAGGTTAAGTGATGCTCCATTTTCTTTTGACGGTTGAGACATGAGCACTAACTCTTGTCCAAGCCTTTTATGGCTTATGGCCTATGGCTATAGCGCCATTACTCGCTTTATGAAAAGAGAAGAGGGAAATGAAAAGGCAAAGGACAAAGGGAAAAGGATTATGTAAACTCTATGAACACAAGCAATATTTTTGATTTGAAATATACAATATAGAAATGCATAACGGCTGTGGTCACTACCCGAGTCTTGTCACTATTATCAAGTCATAAAAAGTAAGTAAAATGTAATCCTTTGATTACTGGAAAATCCTGATTCCCTAGTTTGAAGTTGTCACGACTAGGGTTCGGTGGTAGATCTTATACCAGTAACGCACCACAAAAAGGTGATCGCCCAACGTTACTGGTTTGAAACGATAAAAAATTACAAAATGGAACGAACTCACCAAGTTTAGCCAATTGAACCTGAAGGCTGCCTGACATGTGTTGATGTAGAAGTCTAAATTGTAAACGAAGCTTGACGACGATCAACATGAACTAGTCCGGTTTATGGTAGTTGCGCGGAATGTCTTCCGTCGATTTGAGATAAACAAATGTTCGGATGTATGTAGTCGATTTTTGATGTGCATTGGCAAGCCTTTTCGTGGTCAATAGTCAGGTTCAACGCTGCGACTCAACGAATGATGGAACTAATGATGGGACGAATGATGGGACGAATGATGGGACGAATGATGGGACGAATGATGGGACGAATGATGGGACGAATGATGAGACGAATGATGGGACGAATGATGGGACGAATGATGGGACGAATGATGGGACGCCTCGCGGAGGTTCTACAGCTTCTCAGTGGCAAATATTTAATAGGGACTGAGGAACAAGAAATTGTCTCCTGGGCCTGGTTTTGGCCAGATCAGCAACCGACTATAGATAAAAAAAAAACTCCACGGAAAAAACAAACGTCAGGTTCGATCACACGCACAGCCTACTCCTTCAGGTCATGATTATCTGAGCTTTGTAAAAAAAAAACGTAAATATTTACACTGTATGCAGCGAAGAACTGAGTGTACCCAGTTCTCAATATTTAATACGTCGCAACAAACATGGGGAAGCAGTTTTGTTATTGTATGTTTTCCGGTAGCTGATAATTTATTAACAAAATGCGAAGTGGAGGGGGGAGGGGCAGGGGCTTTAGAGGTTCAATTTACTTTTATACAATTTCGAAAATTACAAAAACAGTTTTTTTTTTCGAGCCATCATTTCAGCTTCTACTCCTTTTGCTATTTTAAAGAAAAATATGCGAGCTTTTTGCAATCTGAAATGATGCGGCTGAAAATCATGCTTTTGAATTTTTCGAAAATGCATCAAAGTAAATTTAACCTTAAAGCTGATAATCTGACGCCAAATCCTAATTTTTCTCTAAATTGGCAATATCTCCATGAAAAATCAAGGAATACATGAAAGCTATCTACTCGACACTAGTGCAAATCAATCAACCATAATCCAACGAAAACTTCCTCAACGGAAAGCAAACTTCTAAAATCAACCAAAGAAAACTTCTACCTACATTTCATTGCGGAGTTTTTGGGTCTGTTTCGATGAAGATGCAAGTGAAAACCCGTGACATATATAATTTAACCAATCCACTTGTGAACAAACTTCGGTTGCACGTCCATTAAAAACTACCATCGTTCATCTCGGTGTTCCAACTAGGTAGCTGCCGCAGAGCGCACTAGCCGGGTAAATTTCCCCCGCACGTCACCATTTCACGTTTGCGAATGCTCCAGATTTTACGAGAAGTACAAATGATAGATATCTACCTCTCTGCCACCAACAGTTTTAATGAGTTAGACATTCCTTTGACTTTTGGCTTCTGGCTCGCTGCAGGAAAATGAACGACTTTATGCATAAACTTCCCAGCGAAGGCAGACTTGTTGTTGATCATTGTCATGTAGCTTCCGCATACTTGATTTTGACAGTAGTTTAAGGAATATTAGTGAAATCTCAGAAAAAAATTTAGACAAAATTTAAGCCTTTGTGAACAGTCAAATAACTTTTGACTTATGAATCAGAATTGTAATAAAAATAATTAAACGTGAAATTTGCAATTGCTCCAACAACATTGTGACTTCGTTCCCGAGTCAACATTGGCAATGTATGTACCTACAACAACTTCAGCAAACTTCACCTAGTTCTACGAAGCCATGCATACTGCAATATTCAGATCCTATTTACGGGCTTGGGTTTATTACATTTCTCTCCTCTTTTCTCTATCTTCCTCTCTTTCTCTGTCACCCAACGAACCAACAACAACGGCCAGGACCGGCGGACTTCGAAACTGCCATCGCTGCAACGGGCTACGGCAAGTTCAACTTCCTGCTGCTGCTGGTGGCACTGCCCTGTTGCATGTGCACCGTATTTGAAACGACCACCATCTCGTACGTGCTTCCGAGTGCCGAGTGCGATCTGCATCTGTCGCTCGTCGACAAGGGAACCCTGAATGCGGTCACCTATGGGGGTAAGTACTCACAACCGTTCTAGCTTGGTCTAGCCTTGCAGTGGTATATGTTCTTAGTGCTCTTCCGAACCGAGCACGGCCAAATTGAATTTCATTCCGCGATATCCTCCCATTCATACAGCCAAATTTGCTGTGAAATCTGTAGTAAAAAAATATACAATTTACAGGTACTCGCTTTAGTTAAGAATTCGTTATATTCCAGAAGAAAATAACTAAACTCCGGTAAGAATTTGTTGAATACAGCGACGAATTTGTTCACTTTAAAAAAAATCGATGAAATCTAGAAGGAATTTGTTAAACATCAGGAGAAATACGTTAATTTTCCAAAGGTTAATTACGATACATTGAAATTAATTTAATTTAAAGAGGAATTCGAGAGGATTAGTCTAAATTCTGAGAGAAATTTGCTGAATTCTTAGAGGAAATCGTAAAATTTCCGGAGGATTCTGGTTTTCTGATTAATTCTACATTCGCTGAATACGTTGGAATTCACTGAATTCAGTGAGAAATATTTAAGTTCAAAGGGAAATACCCAAAAAGAATCCGAAAAAAATCCACTGAATTCCAAAAGGAATTCTCGGAGTTTTGAGAGCAATTAACTGAATTCCCAGGTGAATGCACTGAATACCGAGAATAATTCCAGAAGAAATACGATAATTTGATTAAATTGGAATTCATTGAATTCTGAGAGAAGTCATTACATTTAAAGAGGTTTTTACTTAATTTAGGAATTTGGTTAACCTGGACAGGAATTTGGCTAACTCGAAGAAGAAATTTAACGCGGAGAGGAATGCGCTTTACGCAGATAATAATTCGCAGAATTCCGAGACGAATTAATAAATTCCGAATGAATTCGATGAATTCCTAGACGAATAACTAAATTCCAAAAGAAATTTAGTGAATTCCGTGGGAAATTCGCTGAATTCAGAGGGGAATTCAATTAATTCCGAGAATAATTTGTTAAATTCCGAGAAGAACTCGCTGAATTCTCTGAATTCCGAAAGGAAATCGCTGAGTTCCGAGAGAAATTCGCATGAAATCCGAAAGGAATTCTCTGAATTCCGAGAGGAATTATCTGAATTCTGAGAGGAATTCTTTGAGTTCCGAGTGGAATTTGCTGAATTCCAAAAGGAATTCGTTGAATGTCTAGAGGAATTTCTAGAGGAATTCGTTGAATTCCGAGAGGAATTCTTTTAATTTTGAGAGGAATTTAATTAATTTCAAGAGGAATTCAATTAATTTTGAGAGGAATGCAATGAATTTCGAGAGGAATTCACTGAATTTCAAGTGGAATGCTGGAAAAAAATAGATAATTTCTTAATAAGATCGATGAATTCGAAGAGGAATTCTCTGAACTCCCAGAGGCATTCGCTGAATCTCCAGAGGAATTCCCTGAATTTCCAGAGGAATTCGCTGAATTCTCAAAGGAATTCACTGCATTCCCAGAGGCATTTGCAAAATTCTCAGTGGAATTTGCTAAATGCCCAGAGAAATTCACTGAATTCTCAGAGGAATTCGCTGAATATCTCGGAAGTTCTCAGAACATCGTTCACGGAACAGCACAGAATTTTGCATAAACTCACAGAACACATCAAAAGTTCTCTGAACTTCTCGAACTTTTTTGTAAATTCTCTTTTGAGAATTTCTTATATGTCCCTAGATCTTTTTAAAAGTGAGAAGTTTTGTGAAATTCCAAAAGCATCCGAAAAATTATGAAAAGTTCTCGGAACCACCAAGCTCTATGAATAACCCGAACAACTTCCGGTAGTTTCCAAGAAATTACGAGAACTCCTGAGAAGATCTATGAATTTGCGAGAGTAATTCCAAAAGTTCTGAGAACTTCAGCAATGTTCTGAGAAAATCTGAGAACTACAAAGATGATCTAAGCACTGCTGAGATGTTCCTAAAAGTTCCTAGAATTTCCAAGAACTTCCGATTAGTTTCGAGATATTCTAAGACCTAACGGGAACTTCGGTAATTCTCAGATTTTCTCGAAACTTCTCGTAAATTTACAGAAGTACTCGGAACTTCTCGAAAGTTCTTGTAAATTTTCGGAACTTCCGCGAAAATCCGAGAACTTCATCGATGTTCTGAGAACTTCCGAGAAGTTTTTTTTTAAACTTTTGGCATCTTCCGAGTAGATCTGAGATCTTCCGAGGAGTTCTGAGAGCTTTAAAAAGTTTACGAGAACTTACAAGAACTTCCAAGAATTTCCGAGAATGTCCTAGATCTTCTGGAAAGTTCTGAAAAATTCCGCTTAGTTCCTAGAAGTTCTGAAATGTTCCTAGAAGTCCTGAGAACTTCAGTTATGTTCTGATTAGCTTTGAGAACTTCCGAGATGATCCAAAAACTTCCGTGACTTTCCAGGAACTCCGAGAAGTTCCAAGCAGCTCTGAGATCTTCCGAAATGTTATGAGAAATTTTGTGAACTTCGCTGATGTTCTGAGAAATTTTGAGAATTTCCTAGAACTTGCTAGAGCTTCCACAGTTCATAATTTTCCAGAGCTTCGCGGAAGTTCTATGAACTTTTCAGAACTTTAGTGGAGGAATACACGGAATTCTTAGATAATTTTACTGAATTTTTGAGAATTTCGAAAGCAATTTACTGAATTCCGAGAAGGAATTCGCAGAATTCAGAGAGAGAATTAGGTGAATTCTCAGAGGAATTTGCTGAATTTCCAGAGGAATTTACTGAAAATCAAGAGAAATTCTCTGAATTTCGAGAGGAATTCGCTGAATTTCGAGAGGAATTCGCTGAATTCCGATAGGAATTCGCGGAATTTCTAGAATAATTCACTGGAATTCGAGAGGAATTTACGCACGAATTTGATAAATTTTAAAAGTAGTTCGATGAGGGTTCTTGATTAATTCCGCAGGAAAATAACTGGATACATTGGAATTCATTAAATTTCAAGAGGAATTCTATGAATTCCGAGAGGAATTGTTTGCTAAAGTCCCAGAAGAATTCATGGACGAATTTGTTAAATTCGAAAAGAAGTTCGATGAATTCCACAAGAAATAAGTAAATAGCCCAGAGTTTCTCGATTAACTCCGCGGCAAATTAACTGGATACATTGGAGTTCATGAAATTAACAGAGGAGTTCGTTGAATTCCGAGAGATATTCAGCGAATTCCCAAATGTATTCGTTAAATTCGGAGAGGAATTTGCTGAGTTCCAAGATGATTTCACTGAATTCTCAGAGGGATTCGCTTTGTTCCCAGATAAATTCGTTGAATTCCAATAGGAATTCGCTGATTTCGTACAGGAATTCGTTGAATTCCCAGAGGGATTCACTGAATTCCCAGACGGATTCGCTGAATTTCCTGAGAAAATAGCTGAATTCCCAGAGAAATTCGATAAATTTCCAGAGGAATTCACTGAATTCCCGGAGGAATCCGCCGAATTCTTAGAGGAATTCACAGTTCCTAGATAAAATCCCTGAATTCCTAAAGGAATTCGCTGAGGAACCAATTTGATTAAAAAAGAGGAAAGCCCCCTTCAGGGGCTTCCGGGTTTGGAGACGAACCAGCCCAAAGCTGAAAGCCTCCCTAATAAAGATAAATTAATTAATTAATTGATTAAAAAAAAAAGATCGATGAATTCTAGGAGGAATTTGTTGAATTCTATGAGAAATACTTCAATTTCCCATAAATGATCGATTAATTTCGCAGGAAATTTACTGGATATATTGGAATTCATTAAACTAAAAGAGGAGTTCACTGAATTCCCGGAAGAATTCACTGAATTCCCAGAGGAATTCCCTGAATTCTAAGAGGAATTTCCTGAATTCGCAGAGGGATTCGCTTTGTTGCCAGATAAATTCGTTGAATTCCCACAGGAATTCGCTGAATTTCCAGAGGAATTAGCTGAATTCCCAGAGGGATTCACTGAATTCCCAGAGGGATTCATTGAATTTCCAGAGGAATTAGCTGAATTCCCAGAGAAATTCGATAAATTCCCAGAGGAATTTACTGAATTCCCGGAGGAATCCGCAGAATTCTTAGAGGAATTCATAGTTCCTAGATAAAATCCCTGAATTCCTAAAGGAATTCGCTGAGGAACCAATTTGATTAAAAAAAAGATCGATGAATTCTAGGAGGAATTTGTTGAATTCTATGAGAAATACTTCAATTTCCCATGAATGATCGACTAATTTCGCAGAAATTTTACTGGATATATTGGAATTCATTAAATTAAAAGAGGAGTTCACTGAATTCCCAGAAGAATTCACTGAATTCCCAGAGGAATTCGCTGAATTCTAAGAGGAATTTCCTGAATTCGCAGAGGGATTCGCTTTGTTGTCAGATAAATTCGTTGAATTCCCATGAGAATTCGCTGAATTCCCAGAGGGATTCACTGAATTCCCAGAGGGATTCACTGAATTCCCAGAACGATTCACTGAATTTTCAGAAGTATTCATTGAATTTCCAGAGGAATTAGCTGAATTCCCAGAGAAATTCGATAAATTCCCAGAGGAATTCACTGAATTCCCGGAGGAATCCGCTGAATTCGTAGAGGAATTAACAGTTCCTAGATAAAATCCCTGAATTCCTAAAGGAATTCGCTGAGGAACCAATTTGATTAAAAAAAAAAAGATCGATGAATTCTAGGAGGAATTTGTTGAATTCTATGAGAAATACTTCAATTACCCATAAATGATCGACTAATTTCGCAGAAATTTTACTGGATATATTGGAATTCATTAAATTAAAAGAGGAGTTCACTGAATTCCCAGAAGAATTCACTGAATTCCCATAGGAATTCGCTGAATTCTAAGAGGAATTTCCTGAATTCGCAGAGGGATTCGCTTTGTTGTCAGATAAATTCGTTGAATTCCCATAGGAATTCGCTGAATTCCCAGAGGGATTCACTGAATTCCCAGAGGGATTCACTGAATTCCCAGAACGATTCACTGAATTTTCAGAAGTATTCATTGAATTTCCAGAGGAATTAGCTGAATTCCCAGAGAAATTCGATAAATTCCCAGAGGAATTCACTG